GGGGGGTGGGTGGGACGGAGGCTTTGGCGGCGGCGCCGCGGGCGGTGACTTTGGGGATGGCCTTGAGCAGGACCCCGAGCATGAGCTGCTGCAGGCGCCGCGCCGTGTGGCGCATGTCGGGGTCAGCTACAGCCGCGCCAGCAAGCAGGTGGACGTGCACGCGCTCAAAGATATCATCTGGGGCGGCGTGCTGCGGGCCGGCGGCGGTGATGGGCAGGCTCAAGTCGGCCTGGAAGCGTCGGGGGCGGCGCAGGAAGCTGCCGAGCAGCCGGTGGACTTCCGGGACGTGATCAAGGTGGTGCCAAAGGAGAGCCCCGCGGGCCGCCTGGAAGACATGTCTGTGCACATGTGCTTCATCTGCCTGCTGCACCTGGCCAACCAGCACGGGCTGGAGGTCAAGAGCGGCGACGACCTGCGGACGCTGACTGTCAGGGGGCGGCCGCAGGCGGCCATGGGAGGGTAGGCGCGCCGTGGGGCTGTTCTGTCTGTGTGTGTAAGTTTGTGCTGTCCGCGAGCGCCGTGGTTGGCCCGCCGTCCGGTCCCAGGGCGGCTGGGAGTTTGTGAATCGGCGGGCAAGTGCGGCCCTGGAGCCTTTAATTGCTGGCAGATTATTTGCAACAGCTGGGTGACACAATCTCATGTAAGCAAGATTGCAACATGATTGATGCCACCGTTTTGGTTGATGCCACCGTTTTTGTAACTGGACAATGACTGTGCTTGTCCATTACACTCACTGCTCCACCTGTTTGTGTGGCATCAAACAAAGAAGAATAGCATAACACAACTAGAAAGGAAGGCACTGAGAGGCCATCATAATCGTTGCAAAAAAAGGGCATAATCCGTTTGGGGCAACGCACTTCGCAAAACCTACACCAGCTCAAACCGCAGCACGTCACCAGGGCACTGGGCGCTCACGCTTTCGCAGTGCGCCCATACACCACTCGTGACCGCACCGGCCGGCAGCTTCACAACCAGCTCCCGCAGGCAGGGGCCAACACACCCACACAACACGAGTGGCGCTACCAGGGCGTCTATGCACTCTTTCGCAATGGGCAGCCTTCTAGACCCCTCCTCAAACTCAGCTTTTACGTGCAGCTCCATGCACTGCAGCCGCTGGAACAGCGGCAGGCACAGCAGCCCGCCCTCGTGAGCGCCTTTGGCCAGGCCGCCGTCGCCGCCGCCTGCGCGCGGCAGGCGGCAGGGGTCCAGCACGAGCCGCTCAAGGCTCGGCCCCAGCTCGGCAGCCAGGCGCGGCAGCAAGTAGCCCAGGGGCAGCGCGGCGCAGCTGGGCTGATCCACTATGTACACCAGCTCTGTAAGGCGCCGCGCCTGCCACGCCGTCAGCGAGCGCAGCAGAGCCGCGGCGCACTCATATGGCTCGTTGGCCTGGCCCGGCCACAGGTTCCAGCCCCTGCCCTCGAGCGCCACGCTCCTCAGGCGCGGCAGGCTGCGCAGGACGGCGTCGTACGCGGCCACGCCCTCAACGTCCAGGGTGTCCTCTTGGTAGCCGCTTAGGGTCAGCTTCTCGAGGGTGGGGTGGTTGGCAAGCGGCGCCAGGTCCAACATGGGGAGCTCGCTAACTTGCAGTGCGGTCAGCTTGGGGGCAAGTAAAAGGAAGGCGTCGGGCTGTGGTGAGGTGTGGCAGCAGAACCCTGGCACGGCGAGCTCCCGCAGGTTGTGAAACATGGGGAGAGCGCCGCGGTCGATGTCCAGGCCACAGCGGTAGACGTCTCGGGTTTCCACATCCAGGGACTCGAGACTTGGAAAGACGGTATCCAGGCCGACGGGGCCGCAAGCAAACCAGTTGGCGGCCAACCTGACGTCAATGGTGTGCGAGATGGTGCCGCCCCAGTTCCTGCAACGTTGCGCCGGTGGGCGGTGTGAGCACGGGGCGGCCGCGGCGCGATTGTGCTGACTACTGCACATGAGTGTCCATGCGTGCGCAAGGAGGCTCACGAGCGCATGTAGACAGGGCCCCACGATTTGCGCGCGTTGTACAGACCAAACTACCATACATGCAGGTGGGCGCGTGCTCATGCGCATGCGCATGCACGTGCAGATGCACACACACATGCGGGTACCCACGCCAGTAGAGCGTAGACGAAAGGCACGCCATGGCGACCCCCCTGGGGGCCACCCAGGCAGTTGCCCTGACACTCACTCTGTGTCAAGCGTCAGGCTGGTGATGCCAGGCAGCTCCAGGCCGCGGAAGCCAGCCCAGTCGTGATCTTCCCAGTCAAGGCACGCCTTGGTAACTCCGTGCTTGCGACCACATGCAGCCGAGCTGCAGCGCCCGCAGCGCGCCGCAGTTGGTCGCGCAGAAGCGCAGCACGAGCGCGAGGCTGGAGAAGCTGCGGGCACGGTTTGGATTTGCCGAGCAGGGCCTCAGCCGTGGTTACATGCAAGCTACAAAGGCAGGGTGCCGAGTCCAAGGCCAGCGCAGCAACACCATGATAATGTGCGAACGCAGCCGGCCCGTCTGTTGATCCGGGCCTGCTCACCTCCAGTCCTCGAGGCTGAGGCGCGTCAGGCAGGTCAGCGCGGGCAGCGCGGCAGCCAGCACGGCGGCTCCGAGCCCCTCCCCGCAGTCCATCTCCAAGTCCTGCAGCCGCGTCAGGGATGCCAGTGCCGCCGACGCGGCGGCGATATGCTGCGGCTCGCAATGGTTCCGGCCGTACGTCATCGCCGGGCAGAACAGCTTCTGGAGGCTGCCAGCCCACGGTGTCAGCAGCGGAAGCGCGGCGGTTGTGGTCGTTGCGGCGTGCCTGACAACCGTCTCCACATCAGGGCACAACCGCACAAGTTGCTGCAGCTCCTCATCCGTCAGGCCCTCGAAGAAGGCACCCTCAACATGCCGCACAGTGGGCAGTGCGCCGTCTGGCAGGCAGGCAAGCGCTGCCACGGCCACGCCATTGTCGTCGTCCAGTGTAAGTTCTTCTAAAGCCGGGAAGCGGGTCGCCAAGCGCGCCGCGGTTGGCGTCACAATGCCGCTGTCCCTGTCGACGAACACTCTCACATACCTGCGGCACTCATTGAAAGCGGCGCAAGACGACTGGCACGCGAAGCTGAAGCTGCGCCACGACTCCCGAATCAAACGGGACTTGATGGACTCAGTAATAGATACAGGCAGCTGACCGAATCCCAGCTGCCATGGAGACGGATCACCCATGTCGGCGTGTTGGGAGATCTGGCCCCCGGTGAGGCACGAGTTGGCAGGGATGAGATGTATTAGCAACAGTATGCGTGCGCGATGCCGCAGTGGTGGTCCTCCTGCGAATACCAGAAAAACAGTTTTTGAAGTGTTTTGGCGGGATTGGCGCAATCCACCACCTGGTCAGGTGACTCTGCGCGCAGGTGACTCTGTTGATCTGTGACTGCAGTGCAAGTTCAGGAGTTGCATCGCATATGTCGATGTGTGCTGTGCTTTGTTCCGCTAACAGAGCAAGATTCTTGTAGAATATTTAATTTGCTGTCATGATGTCAAGACTGACATTCGCGATTGCCCGTGCAAAGGTGCATCGCTCCAACTCATCACAGCCCTGCTCGTCTGTTGCGCCCGCTCGTGCTTTTATCGCGGCGCCCTTTATGATACAAAAGACACCTCAAAAAACAACTTGCAGCTGGCTACTATTGCTGTGGTTGCGACAATTTGAACACCTAGTGTGCGGTCGTTCAGCAACTCAAGGATATCGACAAGCCTGATACAAAGAGTTTAGGGTTGGGGAACACCTAGGGAAGCGATACATACAATGCCGTTATAAGCTCAAAGATATCATCTGGGGCGGCGTGCTGCGGGCCGGCGCCGGCGACGGGCCAAGCGCCGTCGGTGCGGAAGCTGCGGGGGCGGCACAGGAAGCTGCCGAGCAGCCGGTGGACTTTCAAGGTGGTGCCGAAGGAGAGCCCCGCGAGCCGCCTGAAAGACATGTCTGTGCACATGTGCTTCATCTGCCTGCTGCACCTGGCCAATCAGCACGGGCCAGGGGAGGGTAGGGGCGTCGCGGGGCTGCGCGGCCGGTGTGTCGCCGGTGTGCTGTTAGTGAGCTCTGCGTTTGGGCCGCCGCCAGGTCCCGGGGCGGCTGGGTGTTTGTGGTTGCGGTGGGCAGACGCGACCCTGGTGCCTTGCTGGCAGGAGGTTTGCAAAAGCTGGGTGAGACAATGCTGTCAGCAAGATTGCAACGCAATTGATGCAACCTTTTTGATTGTGTGAATAAGTTTTTGTTACTTGGCAATGGCTGTGCGTTTGAATCACACCAAGTGCCCCACCTGACGGTATGGCATGACACACATAATTGGCACAACACAACCTCAATTGAAAGCAGCACAACAAGCGTCCATCATGCACGTTGCAAGCAAGGCATGGAACGCCTGGAGGCAAGGCAACATGCACAATCTGCACCAGCTCAAATCTACACCAGCTCAAACCGCAGCACGCCACCAGGGCACTCGGCGCTCATGCTTTCGCAGTGCGCCCACACACCACTCGTGACCGCACCGGCCGGTAGCTTCACAACCAGCTCCCGCAGGCAGGGCGCAACACAGCCACCATATACAAGCGGCTGCACCAGGGCGTCTATGCGCTCTTTCGCGATGGGCAGCCTGACAGGCCCCTCGTCCATCTCAGCCTCCACATGCAGCTCCATGTACCGCAGCCGCTCGAACAGCGGGAGGCACAGCAGCCCGCCCTCGCGCACGCTCTCAGGCAGGCCGCCGCCGCCGCGCGCGCGGGGCAGGCGGCAGGGGTACAGCTCGAGCCAATTGAGGCTCGGCCCCAGCTCGGCCGCCAGGCGCGGCAGCACGTAGCCCAGGGGCAGCGCGGCGCTGTCGGGCTCGGCCACCTCGTACACGAATTGTGTGAGGCGCCCCGCCCGCCACGCCGCCAGCGAGCGCAGCAGCGCCGAGGCGCAGTCGTACGGATCGTCGGCCTCGCCCGGCCACAGGTTCCAGCCCCTGCCCTCGAGCGTCACGCGCCCCAGGCGCGGCAGGCTGCGCAGGATGGCGTCGTACGTGGGCACGCCCTCGACGTCCAGAGTGTCTGTTTGGTAGCCGCTCAGGGTCAGCTTCTCGAGGGTGGGGTGGTTGGCGAGCGGCGTGAGGTCCGACATGGGCAGCTCGCTCACGACGAGGGAGGCCAGGTTCGGGGCCAGCGAAACAAAGGCCTCGGGCTGTGGGGAGCTGTGGAAGCAGAAGCGGTTCACAGTGAGCTCCCGTAGGTTCTGGAAGGTGGGGAGGGCGCCGGGGTATATGTCCAGGCCGCAGCGGTAGATACCCTCGGCGTCCACGGTAAGGGACTCGAGGCTGGGAAAACAAGAGTGCAGGCCGACGGCGCCGCGCGCAAACCAGGTGGCGGACAAGGTGACCTTCTCGTTGTCTGGGACGCCGTTGCACCAGTCCCTGGACGCCACGCGGGTGTGCAGGTTGCGCAAGGGGGGGGGGTCGCAATCGTGCTGACTGTCGCACATGAGCGTGTATGTGAGCGCGAGGAGGCTTGTGCGCGCATGCAGGAAGCCGCCATGATAGTCTTGGAGTGTGTTGACCATGGCGTGCGTCATGCGGATGCATGCAAACACACACACACACACGCACGCATGCGCGCGTGCCTGCACGCACAGGCACACGCACGCACACGCACGCACACACACACACACACGCGTGCACACACACACACACACACGCATATGCATACACGCATGCACGCAATCAAGCGCAGACGACGGGCACGTGGCCCCAGCCAATCGCTCTGTATCTCACTCCGTCCAGAGGGTCAGGCTGGTGACCCCCGGCAGCTCCAGGCCGTGGTAGCCAGCCCAGTCGTGATCTTTCCAGTCGAGGCTTGCCTTGCGGTCCCGCGCCTCTGACCACATACGGCCGAGCTGCAGCGCCTGCAGCCCGCGGCAGCCGGTGGCGCAGGAGCGCAGCACCTGCGCAAGGCCGGCAAAGCTGCGGGCAAGGTATGGAGGTGCCGAGCAGAGTGTCAGCCGTGCTACCATGCTTGGGACAGACGCGGGGTGGCGGGCCTGGGCAGCACAGCGCCAGGCTCATGTGCGAATGCACCACCCCCGTCTGACGCCCCGAGCGTGCTCCGTCTCACCTCCAGTCCTCGAGGCTGAGGCGCGTCAGGGAGGTCAGCGCGGGCAGCGCGGCAGCCAGCACTGCGGCGCCGCGCCCCTCCCCGCAGTCCATCTGCAAGTCCTGCAGCCTTGTCAGGGACGCCAGCGCCGCCGTCGCGGCGGCGATCTGCTGCGGCTCACGCTCGCTTTGGCTGAACAGCAACGCTTTGCAGGACAGCTTCTGCAGGCTGGCCCCCCACGGCGTCAGCAGCGGCAGCACGGCCATTGTGGTCGTTACAGCGTGCCTCACAACTGTCTCCACATTGGGGCACAGCCGCACAAGTTGCTGCAGCTCCTCATCTGCCAGACCCCGGTAATAGGGGCCCTTGACGTGCCGTACCGTGGGCAGCGCACCGCCTGGCAAGCAGGCGAGCGCCGCCACGACCACGCCATTGTTGTCGTCCAGTGTAAGTTCCTCTAAAGCCGGGAAGCAGGTTGCCAAGCGCCCCACGCTTGGCGTCACAACGCCGCTTTCCCTGTCGGCGAACACCATTACTTGTCTGCGGCACGAGTTGAAGGCGGCACGATACGACCGGCACGCGACGCTGCAGCGGCGCCACGAGCCCCCGTCCAAACGCGACTTGATGGACTCAATGACAATTTCAGGCAGCTGACCAAATCCCAGCTGCCATGGAGACAGATCGCCCATGATAACATCTGCGCGTTCGTTGATCTACTGTAGCCCCCGGTGAGTGCACGAGTTGGTATTAGAAATGGATGGAATCAGTGAAAGAGAGCGCGGCGACACGATGGATTTTGTCCGGGGAACACCAGAAACAAGATCTTTGAAGTGTTTTTGCGCAACCTACCGTGGTCACCGCGACAGGTGACTCAGTGCCTGCAGTGAAAGTTCAGGAGTTGCATCGCGTTTGTTGATGTGTGCTGTGCTTTGTTCCGCTCACAGAGAAATATTCTTTGTGATCAATCATTTGTTGTCATGATGTCAAGACACACTGACCAATTGCCGCAGCACACCAGCCCGGGCTGGAGGTCGAGAGGGGCGACGACCTGCGGACGCTGACCGTCAGTGGGGTGAGTAGGCGCCCCATGGGGCTGCGCGGTCTGTGTGTCGCCGTGTGCTGTTGGCGAGCACTGCGTTTGGGCGCCCGCCAGGTCCCAGGGCAGCTGGGTGGTTGTGATTGTGGTGGGCAGATGCGGCCCTGGTGCCTTTGCTGGCAGCAATTTGCAAGAGCCAAGTGAGACAACGCTGTCAGCAAGATTGCAACGTGATCGATGCAACCTTTTGTAATATGCGAATCAGGTTTTTGTTACTTGGCAACGGTGCTTGTAAATCATACTTACAGGCCCCACCTGTTTGTATGCGCAAAAGGCACATGATTGTCAGAATCCAACCTCAATTGAAAACAAGGATACAAGCGCACATCATAAGGGTTGCAACAAAAGGCATGGAACGCCCACGGTAACCTGCACAATCTACACAGGCTTGAACCGCAGCACGCCGCCAGGGCACTGGGCGCTCAGCCTGTCGCAGTGCGCCCACACGCCGCTGGTGACGTCGCGGGCCGGCAGCTTCACAACCAGCTCCCGCAGGCAGGGACCCACACACCCACACGACACGAGCGGCGCCACCAGGGCCTCTATGCACTCTTTTGCTGTTGGCAGCCGGACACGTCCCTCCCCAATCTCAGCCTCAATGTGTAGCTCCATGTACCGCAGCCGCTGGAACAGCGGCAAGCACCGCAGCCCGCCCTCGTGAACGCCCTCGGCCAGGCCACCCCCGCCGCCGCCCGCGCGCGGCAGGCGGCAGGGGTACAGCTCCAGCCGCTCCAGGGTCGGCCCCAGCTCAATCGCCAGGCGCGGCAGGACGTAGCCCAGGGGCAGCGCGGCGCAGCTGAATTCTTCCACATCATACAACAGCTCCTTGAGGCCGCGCGCCTGCCACGCTGCGAGCGAGCGCAGCAGCGCCGCACCCCACGCGTACGGATCGTTGTGCCGGCACGGCCACAGGTTCCAGCCCTTGCCCTCGAGCGTCACGCTGCTCAGGCGCGGCAGGCTGCTCAGGATGACTCGCATGCGGGCAGGCTGGCGAGGTCCGCATCCTCCTCGTGGTAGCCGCTCAGGGTGAGCTTCTCGAGGGTGGGGTGGTTGGCGAGCGGCGCCAGGTCCGAGAAGGGGAGCTCCCTGACGTGAAGCGAAGCCAGTTTGGGGGCCAGCGAAACGAAGGCCTCGGGCTCCGTCGCCGGAGGAGTGGCAGCAGAACGCTGGCACAGCGAGCTCCCGCAGGGTGTGAAACGTGGGGAGAGCGCCGGCGTCTATGTCCAGGCCGCAGCCGTACGGGTCATCGTCGTCCACGACAAGGGACTCCAGGCTTGGGAAGAGTGTGTGCAGGCCGATGTCCCCTTGAGCAAACCAGTTGGCTGACAAGGTGACCTCGGTGTCGAACGAGATGCTCTTGCCCCAATCACTTGGATGCCGCACCGGTGCGCAGGTTGAGCATGGGGCGGGGGCGTTGCGGTTGGGTTGACCCTAGTGTCCTTGTGAGCGCGATGAGGTGGATGCGCCCATGCAGGCGGCTCCCATTATTTGCGTGCGGTGCGCAGACCCAGGTATGAGTCATGCAGGTGGGCACGTGCTGATGCGTATGCGCATGCACGTAATGCTGCGCACACACATGCGCATGCACACGCAATCAAGCGCAGACGACAGGCACAAACCCCTGGGCGATTGCCATGAAACCTACTTGGTCCAGAGCGTCAGGCTTGTGATGCCTGGCAGCTCAAGGCCGCGGAAGCCAGCCCAGTCGTGATCTTTCCAGTCCAGGCACGCCTTGTGGCCCCGCGCCTCCGACCACATGCGGCCAAGCTGCAGCGCCCGCAGCGCGCTGCAGCTCGCCGCGCAGGAGTGCAGCACGAGTGCGAGGCTCGCAAAGCTGCGGGCGCGGCATGGAGGTGTCAAATTGAGCGTCGGCCCATGCTACCATACACGCGAGAGATGCAGGGGGCCGAGTCCAAGGCCCGGGCAACACAATGCCAGGCCGAAGTGCGAACGATGCCGGCCGATTGTCGACTTGGGCCCGCTCTGTCTCACCTCCAGTCCTCGAGATTGAGGCGCGTCAGGGAGGTCAGCGCGGGCAGCGCGGCAGCCAGCACGATGGCGCCGCGTCCCTCCCCGCAGTCCATCTCCAAGTCCTGCAGCCTTGTCAGGGACGTGAGCGCCGCCGACGCGGCCGCAATCTGCCGGGGCTCCCACTGGGTGCGGCCGAAATTCGTTGTGCAGGAGACCTTCTGCAGGCTGCCACCCCACGGCGCCAGCAGCGGGAGCACAGCCGCTGTGGCCGTCACAGCGCACTTGACGACCCTCTCCACCTTTGGGCACAGCCGCACTAGTTGCTGCAGCTCCTCATCCGCCAGGCCTTCGTAGTAGCCACCCTCTACTTGCCGCACTGATGGCAGCGCGCCGTCTGGCAGGCAGCCGAGCGCTGCCACAACCACGCCCTTGTCGTCATCCAATGTCAGTTGCTCCAAAGCCGGAAAGCAGGTTGCCAAGCGCGCCATGCTTGGCACCACCACTCCGCTGTCCCTGTCAGCGTACAGTCTCACATGCCGGCGGCACGCGTAGGAAGCGGCGCAAGACGACTGGCACGCAAAGGTGAAGTGGCGCCACGACTCCCGATCCACACGCGACTTGATGGACCCCACAACAAAATCAGGCAGCTGGCCGAATCCCAGCTGCCACGGAGATGGATTGCCCATGTCGGCACCCGCGTTGGCAGCAGATCTAGCCCCCCGGTGAGTGCAAGAGTTGATATGGATGAAAGAAACGAGCAACAGCAGCACGATGCCACAATGGCCGAGTTGTCCTGGGAAGGCCACAAACACGATATTTTGAATTGTTGCACTGGCGCAACCCACACTATGCGCATGGTCACCTGTCACCTGCAGGTGGCAGCGGTGAAAGTTCGGCATTTGCATGGCTTGCCTCAACCTGTGCTGTGCTGTGGTCTACTGACTGATCAACATTCTATGACGTAGCTCCACGGGTTGTCCATGATGTGATGCCTCTCCTGAACCCACTGCATTGTGCCTGTTGCACTCCGTTCAAAGTCTGCATTTGCATTGAGATTGCGGCTTCCAGCAGACACATCATCAAGATACGTAGAGAGTGGCACTTGGGGACAAGAGTGTGTGGTGCACCTTATAGAAGGTGCAAAGCTCAGACATCTCTGTGTCTCTCACAGCTGGCAACAAACGGCTGCCATCGAGTGGCGGTGGACACGCGCTGGATCTGCTTGCGCACAATTTCATTTCTGTGTCGTCATGCCCATGCAGTTGGTGGTTGCGAGGTCATTTGCTGCCCTGGTTGCTGTGTATGTTGTTCGCAAATGTTCATGTTATTCTGAAGACCATTGGGCATCGTCGATGTGAGTGCGCCGCTTTGATGACAGGGTTGTAGTAAGAACAGAGATGAGAGTGATAATAAAAAATCTTGGGAGTTGACAAAAGAGTACAAGATTCTTACAATGAGCAGCAACTGCTACCCATTTGCTGTAAGTGGCCATCACATAAATGGGGGATTCACGCCATCTCACCAATCCAACAAAGACCACAGCCCGCCCTTGCGCTTGACGCCTCCAACGTCGCCAGCACCGCCGCCGCCGCCGCTGCCGCCGCTGCGACCGCCGCCGCCGCCGCCGTCGTCACCGCCGCAGCTTCCAGCGCCCTCGTCGCCCATGCCGCTGCTGCGCTCGCGGTCCCTCGCGGCACGTCGCCGCTCCTTCTCCTCCCGCTCGGCCTTGTATGGGCAGTGCCGGCAAATGTTGCCGCAGCAGGGGCGCCGCTTCAGCGCGAATGCCGTGAAAACATAGTATCCAGTTGCAGGGTCCACATACATGTCGCGCCGTTGCTCCACTGCTGCGGCGTGCAGCTGCTCGATGACCTCAGCTGCGGGCTTGCCTTGCAGCTCGGCCGCACATGGCAGATCCTCCAGCTTCAAAGGCGGTAAACTAGCTGCTTCATCAGTGCTGCTGTGTACAAGGGACTGGGGATCAGGGCCATCTGGAGTGGCGCCTCCGACGACTGCTCCTGCTGATGCGGGTGCGTCATGCGATGCGGCTGCCGCTGCCGCTGCTGTGCGCATGAGCGATTGTGCAGGTGTTGAAACTAGGCTGCCATCATCATGAGCGTCTGCGCAAGCACATTGCTGCATTTTCAGGGAACGAGCGACTGCGCACGAAAAGTAAGTGACCCACAGGTACGCGGAGATCAAATGCCACGGTCGAACTAGAAATTCTGCACTATTCCAAGTTGCCACACCGACATGGGTCGGCCTGACACCCGACGGCCGCCGTTTCATGTGGAAAGCTGCCCAGGGGAGGGTACCCTGCTGTTCCAATGTGGGGTGCTGCTGAGCCAACGCTTTGCACCGAGGCACCCCACAGACAGGCCCGCGTCCACCAATTGGAAACAGTCGATTCAACAGCGATGGGTCAGGGTGACCTAACTAGCCAATCTCCTTCGAACAGTGCAGACGTGGTGCCTGCGCGCTTGCTGGCATTGAAGCTCACACGCTCGACCGCCAACAGGCGTCGCTGGTGCACCAGAGCAGGCAGCAATAAGCTCCGTGATGATTTACCCCTGACGTAAGGGCTTGCTTGTATGTAAGGTTTACCAAGCAATGATAGCTAAGAAGGGTGATGTTTATCGTGACTGTTGTATGAGGTGTTTCAGGACCCCTGCAGCTTGCGCTCAGTTGCAGTACATGACCAACCAGCGAAGTGTGTGAGCCGCACTTCCATCGTGGATCCGATAAGCACCACCACTCTGGTTTTGTAATAGCGTCTGAACCCAGTGCACCCACTTAGACACCAACGATAGACGCCGACGCCATTAAGTACGTTACCACAGCTGCTCTACCCATGGATGCGGGCGTGAAAGGCAGCTACAACCGCGAGCCCAGAGCTGGTAGTGGCCGCAGTTTGCCGTCGGCCGCGACTCCGTTTCGCGTTGGCACTTGCAAATTGATTGTACAGCGCAAAGCGTCCAGGGTTGGGTGCCGCACACGCACACACGTACACACGTGCTGCGATGTGGGCTGCCAAAGTCAACAAAGTGCGCGGCAGCTCGTCAAAGGCAGGAGGTCCAGGCATCCCTGCAGGAACCCCGCAGGCCAGAACCTGAACAGCGACAACAAGCTTGCGCAGCCATTCACACCAACGCAGGGGAGTTGATGTGATGAAGCTGCTGGGGCAGCTAGCAGATGCAGGGTGTTGGACTATGACTGTCAGGCGAATGAGCTTGAATGCTCATGCCAGCCTGCCCCAGGCGCAAGGAGAGCGTCTCAGCCCTGGCCGCGCGTATCGCGGCGGCTGCGGCTGGGGGTCAATAGTGGATGCGGGAATGGAAAGTGTGTGATTCAGTGATGAGCGGCAACAGCCATACCAGTACCAAGGCTTAAATGCTTTTGTGTGCCTACCAGCAAGGCAGACGGAGCCAACATACGCGCAACAGGCAGTTGTAAGGCATCAAGATGAGTCAAGCCCCGTAGGGTGCGTGGGCGCCAGCTGGGGGTGTTCACGAGACAAGTTCAAAGAACAAAGAGGTCTGTTGGAGCTGCATTGCTCTTATCATCTTGCAGGAGGGCAGGCACAAAGGAGACTAGTGTGCCACATCCCCGCGCAGGGGCCAGCCCACGTGTATTTGTCCCCACTCCTGACTGGGCGCTGAGCAGCCTCCGCAGGTGACCATGGTGGAGCACCCCCAGCCTGACAACCCGCCCCTTGCATCGCACAGCCCCTGACACACCAGCCAGCAAACACACTCTGACCGGCCACGACTGGCCGTCTTCCACGGCGGCCTGGAGGCCTTGCGACATTCAAACGAGCGCACCCCGCGGCGCCCCGCAACCGTGCGCCCTGACCTCACGCACGGCATAGCTGCGAGGAGGGCAGAATCGGCCCTGTCGCGGCAGCGAGCCATGCGCCTGCTGGAGCGGGCCCGGAGATCTGCTCAGAGGCACCCCCTGTAGAGGTCCAGGTACGACTGGGCGGAGCGCGACCAGCTCCAGTCCTGCTGCATCGCGCGCGGCACCAGGTCGCTGCGCCACCACTCGTTGCCCTTGAGGAACGCGTCCATCGCGCGGTGCACCGCCGCCTCCACGGCTGCCTCTCCGCGGCCTGAGCGGGTCGAAGCAGTGCGGGTCGGGAAGGGTCGTCAGGAGGAGGATGAACGGCGGCCGGTTCGAGGGTGCTGCGCGCACCAGCAGAGGTGGCTTGGGACCAAGCCGCCAGCAGTGAGCAGGCACAGCAAAACGGCCAGCAAGAGGCAAAGCGTGGAGGGCCGATCGGCACCAGAGCAAAACAGTGCTAGCCTGCTGGGCCCTCACCGCTGAACACGAAGCCGTTCCTGTCGCGGTCGGGGACCCCCTGGTCCGCCACGTCACGGATCGTATCCGCCAGGCCCCCGGTGTGGTTGACGATCGGGACGGTGCCTGGGAGGGGCAGCCGCAGGACGCGGTGGAGCGATGGGAAAGGAGCGTCAGCGTCAGCCGGGGGGTCAGGGAGCCAACAGGAGGAGGGCTGCACTCCGCAGGGCTTTGGGGTGCCGCATCTGTGGGGCACAGCGCAGCGCGCGGGCGGGGGCGGCGGCGTGCTGCGCGCCCACCGTAGCGCAGGGAGATGAGCTGGGTGAGGCCGCACGGCTCGAAGAATGAGGGGATCTGGGGCGAGGGCGAGGGCGACGGCGGGGGCGCGGGCCGTGGGGCGCGGCGCGCCGCATGAGGCCATCGCGGCATGGCACCCCGGGGCCGCGGGGCGGCAGGGCGCGGGGGCGCAGGATCGGGCTGGGGTGAGGGAGGATCCAGCCCTGACTGCCCGGGCGCGTTGAGACCAGCCCCTTAACCGCCTTCGCACATGAGGGGGAAGCCTGCAGCGCTGCGAGCTGGACGCCCCCGAGGATCTGCTCCCGACTGCAATCGAAGCCCCCGCTGCACCCATGTTCTGTGTCGTGCAGGCAAACCCGCCGCGTGGCGTCCCAACTGTGCCCACCAGGATCATGTCGGCCCCCGCGTAGATCCTGTGGGCGAGGCCCTCGTCGTAGCGCAGCACCAGCCGCGCGTCGCCGCCGCGCCCGTACTCGCGCGCCATGTCCTCCCACTGGCGCTGCACCTCGGGCTCCGACGCGGTGCCGAGCACCACCACCTGCGCGGTGTCGGTGCAACGGTTGCGCAGGGTGAGAGGGATTGCAAACGTGACAACAGGAACAGGATCGGCCACGTCTGCAGCAACACGGGTGGCCAGGCAGCCCGATGGTGGCGCACAACCGCTTATGACCGCCTCGCAGACGGCTGCGTCACTAATGCCCGCACCTGTGCGCCGCGCGCAATGGCCGTCTTGATGCCGTGCAGGATCAGCGGCAGCCCCTTCTGCACTGTCAGCCGCGACACCACCGCCAGCAGCGGCCGCCCTGGCTGCGCGGGCGCCTCTGCCGCCCCGGCCGCCGCCGCGGCCGCAGCGCTGCCGTTGAGCGCGGCGGCCTGCACGGCGGCGGCCTCGGCCAGCACCCAGGAGGGGGCCGCGTAGGGCAGCGCCAGCTCTTCCAGGAGCAGCCGCTTGCACACCTCCTTGGCCGCGGGGGCGGCCGCGGAGAAGCGGGCGGGCAGGAAGGCGTCGTGCTCGGGGCACCATGACTCGTGGTCGATGCCGTTGAGGACGCCGCTGAACTTGTGGCGGTGCTGGGACAGGATGGCCTGCCGGATCAGGAGTTCGGCGTTTGGAGGGTAAGGTTAAGGCTCTGTTCTTCACGAGCATAAGGGCTTGCACAGATGAGGCCCATGCATCAACAATGGCAGGAGCTTGGGGGGAGCGTTCAAGGGCCGTGTGTGCTGCCCGCCGAGTGCCGCGGCCTCCCTGTTTCACCAACTCTCAGCGGCTGCCCCTGGGTCCCCCTTGGGACGCGCCTGCGCGCCCATGCCAAACTCCGGGGTGAAGACCTCCCTCGCGTAGGTGGGGCTGACTGTTGTGGTGCGGTCGCTGAAGACGACGGCGCCGCGCAGCAGGCTGCAGTCGTGCTGGCCGGGCGTGAAGCCGGGGCGGCTGTCGTCCAGCATGTGCCACGGCTGGGCCATGCGCTGGGGGTCCAGGCCAACCTGCAAGGCGCAGGTGGCGGGACAACCACGTGGTGCAGGATGAAAGATGGATGGGGGTGCACATGCGCCCAGGCAAGCGGATGAGAACGGGGGTTGCGAGGAGAAGCAAGCGGCCCATGGCGTGACATGCGGCGGCTGGCGTGACGGCTGGGGCCAACGGGAGGCGGCTCACATTGGCCAGGAAGTCGGGGGAGAGCCAGCCCTGGAAAGCCTGCGCTCGCATCGATGGACACAAGGAACGCATTGGACGGGAGGGGGGGGGGGGCGTGATGCTGCATGCGTTTGTTCAGAGGGGGTGGTGGTTCCTAATACGAGAAATTCCAACAATCAGCAGCGTGTGGCCGAGGCAGCGTCCCAGCTGGCCACCGGCGAGCACTGCACGGCAGCGGGCGCCGGGCGCGGCGCGGACCGCGTGCCCTCACGATGTTGTGGATGGTGAACACGCAGCGCGGCCGCGACAAGCCCCGGGCGCGGTACTCCTCCGCCAGCAGCGGGGCCTGGGGAGGAGGGGAGGAGGAGGGCAGACGAGGGCACAGCGGCAGCCGCCGTCGCTCGGCGCAAACACGCCAAAGGTATCGGGCAGAGTCGGTTGTATTGCTGGCCCTTGGCTATTTGGCTGCATGCAGTTTGAAAGATGCACGCGCGTTGCGCCACTCAACCCCTTGCCACGTTTTTAGTACCCACTGGATCCTCAAACAGCGCGCGGCGGACGCGTGTGTGCACACCACGGCGGCGCTCTGCCAGTCGTGCAGGTGTATGATGTCGGGCTGCTTGCCGCTGACCGCCAGCCACTCCAGGGCGGCGCGGGAGAAGAACATGAAGCGCTCCAGGTCATCGTTGGCGCCATAGAACCTGGGAGGAGTTGGTTGAAGGCAGACGTGGAGGGGCCAAGGCTGGCAGGACAGCGGGCGGGGCGCCTGTCACGAAGATAAACATAGTGCCGGATTCACGGGGCTGCGGAAGAGGGCTTGTTGGCGGGGAACCGGCCAGCAAGGACAACGGCTCTTGACACATGATGTGCAGCCCGGCCAAGGAACAGGCAAGGACAGAATTGACAGGACCGGGGCCGAGCTGGAGGCCCATTTGGCTGCGTGGTGAACCCAAGTCTTGAACTGCGCAAGGTCCATGCACCCTGCCGGCTGCGCGCAGGTAGACCAAGGGAGGCGCGGAACAGTTGCTCACTGTTTGCGCCAGAAGAAGCCGTTCTCGGGCTCCAGCAGGTAGACAGGCAGCCTGGGGGAGGGGGGGGGTGCGGACAACAGCGCAAGGGGAGAAGGGAGTGGGGGAGGGCCGAAACTGGGGTGCGTCTTAGTCTCGCTGCACTTGCTGCTTACAGAGCCAGGGCGCAATCGTCAAACCAGCACACCATCCCTGCAACTAGCCAGCTGCCATCGTCGTGGCGCATCCCAAGTCCTGACAGCCCGGCCTCGCCCGCACCCGTCGCCCCCGTTCTAGCAGCCCACCCCTCCGAGACGCCGCTCCAGACGCGCGTGGGCACGCTGGCTCCGCCGTACTCGACGTTGATCACGCGCAGCACGCGCAGGTCAGTCAGCGCCGCATAGTTGCAGATGTCATACTTTGGCAGCACCACCTCGCACAGGATGCCGCTGGGGGGCGGGGGATTGGCGACAAGGGAAGCGCGGGGTGTGCGACTTAAACATGCACTTTGCCGTTCAGGCGTATGCCGGCAGGGCTGCAACCAGGGACCCGTTTCGCTTGAATCTCTCCATGCTCCACCACAGTCGAGGCCACTGGTTTGAAGCTCGACGGGCCGCAAGCGCCGCTCGTAATGACTCTTGATACCCTTGAGCTCCCCTCTCCTCACCTCTGCTGGTGCGCCTTGGCCAGCCCTGTGACAACGTCCCCCAGGCCTCCAACCTTGGCCACAGGTACCATCTCCGACGCGATGTGCACCACGTGGAGCCCCGGGCGGCGCAGGAAGTTGAAGCGGCTGAGCAGCAGCGACGCCACCGCGTGGTCGTCGGCGACCGACCGCACCTGAGCAGAGTGCAATGTGCGTGTGTGTTTTTGTGTGTGCGTGTGTGCGTATGCATGTGTTGTGTGCGTGCGTGTGCGAGGGTGTGCACGTGTGTGTGCGTGTATGTGTATGTGTGTGTTTTGCACATGTGTGCATGCCCGCAAGGAATTGTGTGTGTGTGTGTGTGTGTGTGTGTGTGTGTGTGTG